GGATTTGCGGCCCCCGGAACAGAGCAGCAGTCTGCACCTCACCCGGTGGGATAGCTCGTAACTGCTGGCTGATTAGAACAAGCCGCCCTTGCACTGACTCGTGCAGTCTGTGCCTGTCGCACCTCTTCCTCCCGGCCCCAGCAGTCCCTCTTACATGGATACGGGAATTGCATTCGTAAAATTCAGATCTAAATGTCATTCTTCTTTTAAGAACTTTGAAGGCATAGAAAATCGGCCCGTCGGCGTAAGGGGTAAGACGTTGACCTCTGAAGTCAGACTGCTTCGGAATGCCCCCTCTGGCCCTTTGTGCTCTTTGGCACGTCCCCAGTGTTCTCGAGGTTCAGTATGTAAAATCGTGACTATAACGCCGTTTACTTTGTAGAGCCGTCGAGAGGCTTAAATGAGATGTGTACTGAAAGCCTTCAGCACAGGGCTCGGTGCCTAAAATGCAGCAGTTTTCCCTACCGCTGTCTCGCCGCTACTGCTGATGCTGTCATTTTAGTCATGGTCCACGTTACGACGTGATGCCGTCCCCGCTTTCCAGGTTCATCGTTAGCCCCTACCCCTCAGTTGCTGCGGCCCAGTGAAGGCCAGCAGTTTGCTCGTCTCTGAAAAGGCCGCGTGTGCTGAGGACTACCACTTTTATTTTTTTAGCCCAGAATTTTCCCTGAGCTTGATGTCCACTTGGAAATCTAGTTGGAATTTCAAACATGGTATTAGCCAAGTGACTAAAATATAGCTACTCTCCCCCTACCCCAAACCCTGATGTCTCTGCTGGCTTTCTCTGTCTCACTAAATGGCAGTACTCGAGCCAAAAACTTAAGATATCTCTCTGGATTCTTCTCTCTCCAGTCCAGCCTGCCCGCACATTCTGTTGTACCTTCAGAGTTCTCGAGCCAGTCCACTGCTCTTAGCCTTCACTGCCACCTCTTTATTTCAGGGCATCATTATCTCTTGCATGAATTACAGTAGCTTCCCAACGGGGTTCTGTTTTTCTCCTCCAGAGTTTTTATCACACAGCAACCCCAGGGAACATTGTGAGAGCTAAATCATGTCATTTCTCTACTTAAAAATCTTCCAGGGACTTCTCATCCTTCCCTAAATAAAACCTGTACTCCTTTCCGGGTTCTGAGTGGCCCCGAGTGATCTTTCTCCTCATCTTTCTTCCCCTCGTTCACTGGGCGTCAGCCACCGGGACCCCTCAGTGTGCTTTAAATTCTCCGTGTCCTCCTCTCAGGGTCTTCTGCAGTTTTTGTAATTCCTGCGTGACATGATCTTCGTAGGACCGGTACGGCCAGACCCTTTGGATCTCGGCCCAAATCTCATTTCTTCACTCACACCATCCTGTTTAATGCTGTACTTCATTTGTCACTCTCTTACACATCTGGTTTATTTCTTTTAAGATACTTATAATTTGTACGTATCTTGTTTAGTTACTGCTTTTTTATGGTCTTTCTCCGTTACCTGAATGTAAATTCCACGAAGGCAGAGGCCTTGGCTGTCTTCTTGGTGCTGTATCTCCACGCATTAGCACAATGCCTTGGAAGGCACTTGGAAGACACTAAATATTTGATGCTTCTGTATCTTTGCTCACGTTTTTGCCAGGAAGCGGAATACTCCCTTGCTCATCCACCTACTGAACTATTTATCTTTTACGTTGTTAGCTCAGATGTCAGCTGTGATATCGGTTTTAATCTCTAGACAAAGTTTTTCTCCATTGCTCTTGAGGCGCACTCTATGTAGAATAAATACCATTTTGTTAAGAGTACTCGGAGTAGCGTAATCGATGTCATTTTCTTCTGCTAGGCTGAGTTCCTTCGTCTGAGGCTGTCTTGCTCCTTTCGTATGCCCAGCACCCGCCAGTCTACGGCGGTGCGTAGTGAGTGCTCAGGAAATGTTGGCGTTTTCCTAGTCAACTGCAATGACCAACCACAAACTAGTTTTCCCTGTCTGCCTTTAACATCTGTAAAGGTACTTTCCAGACTGTAAAACACTGCCTTATGAATTTGTATACGTATTAACATATTGCTGTCAGCATTCTGGGTCAGGGCAGGGATCCCAGAGGGGTTGAGCACAGCGCCATTTCCTGATACTCCATTTTGCCTTCTCGCCGGGCAGCGAGGAGCCATCTTGTCTGAGGGCTAAAGTTCAGTTGGAAATGCATATCCCTGAAAAAAACAGTGATAGAAATTATAATTAGTTACTAGTTGCTCCTTCCTAAGCAGCACCTCCTTTCCCTTCAGTGTATCCAGCTAATTTTGTTATTTCGGAAAGGCGAGTGGAGGGGAGGACTGTGCAACCTCACACAGTAGACATGAGACACAGTCCTAACTCAGCTGTGATGCCGACAGATCCAGCAGAGCTTTCGTGGCCGACGCTGGTGGCCTAACCACTGTTGGTGATGGAACCATTTCACACGCCAGAAGCCGACTTACAGATTGGCTTTCGGAGCACATGCCGTTTGCAGGTCGAGGGCTCCTTTGGCAACATGTTCATTTCGGTATTGAAAACCTTTTTCTTAATGGTGTTAAAGTTAATTCGACGTGGCTTAGGAAGGGAAAGGGAGAGAAGCACGTGGGAGCTAACGTTTGTTGTGCAGAAATGGCTCAGATTTCCCAGAGTAAAATTTTAGTATTGGCGAAAGGTGTTTTTAAACTTTTTCTCTTGGAAAAAACTTATAAGAATAGTATACTGAACTCCCACGTGCCTGTCACCTAGAGTCACCAATTGTGAACATTTGGTACATTTGCTTTATCATTCTGTACATTCAGAGTGGCCCCTCAGTCTGGGGACAGTTATTACCGTTTGGTTTACAGCGTGAAGCTCCTTGGTTACCTCTTCTGCAGGTTTGCCCATTTGAAGTTGGGCATGTCATCTGAGGCAGAACGCCACCGAAGCAAGCGACGGGTGGATGGGAGTGCTGTATTAACGCGCTGCATACGTCGCTAACGAGGAAAGCACGTTATTAAACACTAATGTCATTGAACACGTCACGTGGTGACGTCATAGCCGGGATCCACTCTAACGAGCGCCCTTTTCCTCCTTTTCCCCCTTTTCTCTTTTTTTCTTCCTCTTCCTATTATAATCATTTTTATTGAACCATTGGAGAATACGTTGCACACATCATGATCCTTTACCCCTATATGTTTCTGATATCTCCTAAGTACAAAGACGTATTCTTACATAACCATAGTGTGTTGGATTCGAGAAATTTACTATCGATAATATATCCATTCACGTGGAAATCTCAATTGCGCCAGTAATATCCTTTCGTAGCATTT